ACCGACTTTTACGAGTTGGGGCTGAGTTGACTCGGCTGAAAACTCGGTTTGACCATTAATCACTAAAAATCGCATAACTTTTCGCTCGGACCTCCGTTTTTGACGTGGTTTTTGTTCACGCGTTCGTAAAGAGATAATATACAACTTAAAATAGATATATCTCAAAAATATCTTCCAATAAAAGTCAGTTTTTATGTATCCGTAACGTAGATATTTATGCTTTTGACCCATTTCTTTCCAATTGTTTTACCCTGGGCCTCGTACGATAATTCCGACTATTTCATATATAGTTTATTGCATTCAGGCTTGCTTCCAAATTTTATGTTTTGATCACATAAACACGTATAAAGGGGACAATTGCAACGTATTTGCGAAAGTGTATGTTACAGAAGAGTATTGCAAGTTTAAAAGGAGTCTTAAATTGTTTGTAAAATATTGCTTATCAGGGGAGATTGTTGAAGACTGAGAGAGTTTGTGAAAGATCTGAAGTTTTTGAAGAGAGTCATGTACAAAGAGAGATTGTTACTAAAAGGGGAGATTATACAAATGTTGTAAAAGATCAAATCTGAAGATGTCAAAATGCTTATAAGTCAAAGTCAAGTTTCTGAATGAATTTTGAAGATCATTGCTGCTAAAGCTAAAGATTTAAAGAACTGAGGAATTTCTGTTTTTGGACTTGAATTAAAAGGGAGAGATTGTTGAGTTTAAAATTTGTTGTATTCAAGTTCTTGTGCTAAAATTGTTTTATATGTTTTCTAGTGTAAGATTTTATATGCTTTGTAGTCTAGTTTACATGCTTTCCAAGAAGGGTATAAATAGGGTTGTTTTGGTAGTTGTAGTAGTTAACAATCATTACATGAGATCTCTGAGAGCTAATCAAGTGTGAGAGAATCAAGACATCAATCTGTATCAAGAACACATTGTAATCACTTTGAACATCAATGACATGCCGACTTACTTGAATCATTCTAGTGTTTTTGATCTTTGATCTAATCTTGTTATTGACTTGAATCTGGGCTAACAATCATCACAAACTCCTCCAATTTTCCTCCTTTTCTTCTCCCCCACCGTACCACAACCCTCATAACCCTTCGTTCCCTCTACGGTGAATATATTGAAACTTTTGTGATAGCAAAAAAAAAAAAAAAAAAAAAACCAGTTCATTTCTAACAGTGAAGGGCTTCATCAATTTGCAGGGATCAAGTGGTTGAAGGACAAGTCTTTGACAAGATTTGTGGATGCACAATGGCTTTTTATTCAGAAGGTCGAGGAGGAGAAGTTTATCCAAGTTTCTATGAAGTTTCTAGGATCAATCTGTGATAAAGTACTATCTTAGTAATGGTGTGAGTAAATCTACTCAATTGTGGAATGAACAAAGGAAACACATAATAAAAGATGCCTTTAATGGTTTGCTTTTAATTTCTTATGGCAAAAGAGACAACAACATTGTTGACCATTGGTTACTACTTACTATGAAGTTAAGTCTCCCAAACCTTGTAAAAGAAGGAACATGATGTCAATTCCTCAAGTAAACTAATTATATTGTTTTTCAAGTTTTTAAATGTAAATATAAAATGACCAAAAGGTCCTTAACTTAATGAAGTTAGAGGTAGAAAACCAATCTAAAACAAAATTAAAACTGCAATGACCATATTTATAATTATTTTATTTAAAGGGCCTAATTCAGTTTTGGCTGAAATTTGTAATTTACTTTAATTCAAAATATATGCACCATGTCTATTATTTAGATTTTGGGATTAGTCAATGTAAAAAAGTTAAACATGTTATCAAACTATTTGGTTTATAAAATTATGTTTTCCAAACATATATCTTCTACCTTTTAGTTATTATTACAAAAATTGCAACATTTTTTCCTTCTTAGAAGATTTAAATTCATTTTACCCATTATAAAAAACGGAAGTTAAAGAGGAAAACCACAAAAAGGTATTAAAAAACTGAAAAAACATTCTGATAATCGTTCATCTAGACGATATATACATATACATACAAGTAATTGAAGCTGTTTTTCGATTTTTATGTATATATGCATGTTATAAATTACTTGTATGAACATATACATACTGTTTGGATCAATAATTATAATTTTTTTTCAGTTTCTCTGTGAATATAACCCCATAAAATTCAGTAATCTTTGTTATGATTTAACTATTTAATAAAAAATGGTTTTTTTTTTTGTAGGGTAAGCAAATAAAATAGCACAAAGTGGTGAACTCGATTGTTGAGTTTGTTCGTCAAATAGTTTATTCAGAAAGACTCGAAGATCTGTCGGGCTGGCATGAATGACTTCATCCCCAAAAGAGAGTCATGATTAATCAGAGACCCATCAAATTCAGACTCCCTGGCTCTATATCTTCAATCTCAAATTCATCATCATCTTCGTCTTCATCTTCCTTTCCACGATCGTCATCCGCATCATCTCTCAATGTTCATAAATCCGACCAAATTATAACCAAAATGGGTAGAAGATCGGTCCTTAAACCAACCCTGGTTACGATCCTCTTAATCTTGGCTTTTTATGCTTTCTTCAACCGCTCAATTTACCCTAATACTGATAACAACTTACCCAACCAATTCCTTGGGAAAACCAACCTTGAAATTCCCGATAAATCAGTTCGAATTTACATGTACGATCTGCCAAGAAAGTTTACCTATGGTGTTATAGAGAGCTATGCAATCCCACGACATGGGTCGGGAAATGAAGATGTAACAAAGGTTAAGTACCCAGGGAATCAGCATATGGCTGAGTGGTACTTGTTCTCTGATTTGAATAATCCGAAAAGATCCGGGTCGTATGTGACCAGGGTTTTGGATCCAGATGAAGCTGATTTGTTCTATGTGCCATTCTTTTCATCGTTGAGTTTGATGGCGAACCCAGCTCGTGGTGGGGTGGTTCCCAAGGGATATAGTGATGAGGAAACACAGGAGGATCTGATTGCGTGGTTGGAGGAGCAGGTTTATTGGAAGAGGAATAATGGGAGGGATCATGTGTTTATTTGTCAGGATCCAAATGCGTTGTACAAGGTTGTTGATCGTGTGAAAAATGGGGTGTTGCTTGTTTCGGATTTTGGGAGGCTGGGTCGAGATCAGGCATCGCTGGTGAAGGATGTGATACTGCCATATTCACATCGGATAAATTCTTACAAGGGTGAAATCGGGGTCGAAGACCGGAAATCGCTCATGTTCTTTATGGGGAATCGATATCGGAAGGAGGTATGGTCAATATTCCTTCAAGGCATAGGAATTTAATTCTAACCTTGCTACCAGTTTGTTTCTAACAGTCACCCAGATAAAGATTGTTGAAATATATGATAAGCTATAAGTGTCAGGTATGACTGGCATTTTGCGAATTCCGTTTGCAGTAAGTAATATTGTGATTTGGGAGGGTGTTAATACATTGGAACATGACTCTCCATGTGTTCCTCAATCTTGGGGTTACATCCTTTGTGACTGAATTTACAAACATCTAGCTAGTAGTTACTGATCGGATTTTGGGTCAAGATTCTTGCACCCGTTAAGAAACAATCAATTTCACACTGCTCGCTGGACTCTTGGGTATAGTTAATGCAATCTGTTACTTTTGGTTTATTGGAAATCTGTTGTTGTGCCCTTGGCTCTACAGTCTGTGGTTTATATAAGCTCTGCTTCTTACATCCATGACTGGCAAAACACCTCCTCATCTCTAAACAATCCAATAAGGGAGCTGATTTGTGCCATCATTGCAAACTGTCACTCATCTGCTAATAAGCATATCCAGTTAACTTTGATATAAGTAATCCCACCCGCTCCATTTGCATTAAATTCATTGTATCACCCATTCGTGTTTAAACTTATCCGCCTCCTATAAGTTGCTTGTGCAAATGGAACTGACCATGAGCATTGTCAAGATTGTATGTCGCATTAAGTTGTATTCATAATGACATTTTAATGGGAGTAGACATGTTTGGTTAAATTTTTTGTTATTTCTTTGTGGTTTTCAGGTGTTGAGATTCTTATTGAGAATAATGCAATGCTGATGTATTTTTCATTGAATGGAAAATATTGGGTATTTTCAATGTGATTTAAGTTTTAGACCCTTTTATACCTTGCCTTCTTTGGCTGTGGTGGTTCCCTTCTGCCATATAATTTTTGAAGGTCAATTCATCATACCAAGATTTTAATATTGTGGAATACACGAGAATAATCCTTTAATGAACGAGAAAAAGAAAAAGAAAAAGTAGAAAGCATTTCAATGGTTCTCGTATTTGCATCTCATTATGCTGGTTGTGCAAGCCTAATGCTGATTATCATGCTATTGCAGGGAGGAAGGATTCGTGATTTGCTCTTTCAGATACTTGAGAGTGAAGAAGATGTTATAATGAAACACGGTGCTCAGTCAAGGGAGAGTCGCCGAATGGCCTCACGAGGGATGCATGGTTCCAAATTTTGTTTACATCCAGCTGGTGATACACCGTCGGCTTGTCGACTTTTTGATGCTGTTGTCAGCTTGTGCATTCCTGTAATAATCAGTGATTATATTGAGTTGCCTTTTGAAGATGTCATAGACTACAGGAAAATTGCTGTTTTTGTGGACACAGAGTCGGCTGTACAGCCAGGATACCTGGTTAAGTTGCTTAGGGGAGTAAGGAACGATCAAATATTGGGATTCCAAACAGAGATGAAAAAGGTATGTAGTATCTATAAGCTCTTTTTTGATTTAATTTAGCATTTTTACTTGTTTTTTCAGTCTATTTTATCTCGTATATGACATAGTTTTCATATAGTTAGTGTTATATTTTAAATTGAAATATGAGGATACTATATTTTGTCGCTTGCTATTAGATTTATTTCAACCGTTATTGTGGCTCAACGTCATTAACGAGATCATCATATCTTATGAGAAGATATCTTTTATCTTTAAGTAGTTGTCAATTTAGTTAAAACTACTTGAAACCAAACACACATAGTATGTCCTTGGAAGTAGGGTCTGAGGGTAAGATATATGCAAACCGGATTTCTACCAAAAAGAGTAGAGCGGAGCCTATCTTTATTTGACCATGCAAAGCATGGAGAGTTTTGATGTACACCGATGGAATCAAGATTTCAACCGGGATTTTGAGATTACAAAGGGTTCCAAAAATTCAAGAAGGTGGAGGTCTCCCAAGGCTATCGCCCCAAAACGAATTACAATATTGATCAACCACTTTTTGTGCTACTACCCTTTATTTATACTTGGTACCGACTTACTAACCCCTGCTTCACCTACATGTGTGCATTAACCACTTGTCTACCACCGTCCATCAAAGGAATTTGACTTTGAAGATATTTGACCACGCATTTGGTTGGTAGGAATTGGAATGGAATTTCGCAAAAGAACTGAATTCTACATGTGTTGGGGGTTGGGGGGGTGGTGTTACGACAATAGTCGCGGGGTGGTGCCAGGGTTGGGTGTGGGTGGGGTGAGGTTGGGTGGCGGTTGTGACGCGACAATAGTGGGGTGGGGGTGGGATAGGGGTGGGGGTCATGGGTGGCGATAGTAGTAGCATGGTGGTGGTGGGGGTTTTGGTTAAATTGGATGGTAGTGTTATTTTTGTCTTTTTAAACCAAATAATATCATTTGCCAAGAAATGGAATTCAAATCCCTCAACCGTGGAATTAGGCAGAATCCAATCAGTTCAATCCGCGGACCATATGTCATTAGGTCAAAGGAATTTGTCATTCTAACTCCATCGATCGCCTGATATGATAAGGAGACCATTTTGCGATCCCACAAGTTTGAGAGCACCCACATATAATAATGCATATAGCACGTTGACAGACATGAGAATTGAGAACAAGCTGTTTTAGTCTAGCATTATGAATAATGTACCTCATCCTATATGTATCCACATCTTTTGCCCATTTCTTCCCTCCTCTCTTTGTAACTCATGCTCAACGAGAAAAAAGGGTGGGATGAGCTTTAAATAGAAGGGAAAGTTGTTGGTTATTGTAGGTAAGCCATCTCGGCTTAAGGAAAAAGTTATAAAGTCAAGCCTGTTGAATGTCCCCTTCCATTGTATTCTTCCCTTTTACTTCCCCTCCAACCCTTGATATCCATTCTGGATGCAGTGCACAAAAACTTGTAGAGATAGTATCTACGTTCACCAATTTGCCAACATTGATAGTCAATGTTTGTGTATTTTATGGTTCTCTTATGAATTTTAGTGTGCATTACAAAGAACAAAGACCAACTCATTTCTATAAGAAGAGTTGAGACATAAAATGGAATAATTAATATAGGAAACCTATCATCCTAACTCATGAACTTGTGTTCATACAAAATTTCCAACAAGTAACATGGATGAAGGATATAGCAAATGTCCACAGTTCTACATACATCCATAACTTCCCTTGGTGTGGAGACTTGGAGCAATTGTTGAGGCTACTTTTTATGACTATAAGGTCATGAATTTGAATCATGGCTTTGCAAAATGCAAGGGGGGGGGGGTACACTTAAAACAAGTGTACTAGGAATTAGGATGGTCAGTTTGGAATCAGCAACTACTTTGTACTTGCCATCTTCTCGAATGCCGTTACTGCTCTAGTTTTCTTTCTTGTTACTTCTTTTCTTCTACCATTTACTATTTGTGTTCCAAACTTTTGTCCGACTTTTAGAACCAAACTTTTATTCCGTCTGGGACTCACTGCTTTTGGTTTTATGGACTTCCTCCTTCCATGTAATGCTGACGATGGATCAATAGGTAATTTTGTAGGTTGGAGCCTTTTTGAAGAAATGAAAGATTGTTGTTGGCCCTTATCAATATCTCAATTTTTTGTAATAGACACAAAAATTTCTGAAATTGTGATCGAGTTAGGTTCACTTTTCTAATGATATATCGGAAATATTCGTGTCTCTTCATCTACTGAAAATTAATGTACGACTATTATTAGTCAATAATCACAAAAAATAGATTAATCTTCTGAAAACAACCTTACTTCTTTTTGGGTCACTGGTTATATATCCGTCCTACTGTATGTGCTATTCTTTGTAGTTCCATATCATCAAATTCATTGAACTTTTGGGCAACCTTAAGATGGTTGAACTACTTCCATATATATAGACTTGGGATCGCATGAGATCAACCTCTTTTCGTGAGACTTGTGATATATATATGTATATATATAGGGGTCCATTCAAGGAAGAACTGAGTAATTTGTGGTAACCATGAGATCCAATCTCAACCTCAAATCAGTAGATAAATTAGGAAGTTTATAATTTTGGTAATTTTGAATTAAAATTTTAATGCAAGGACATTTTAGGTATTTTCTCCCCTCTTCTCTCTCCTTCCTCCGGCCATCGTCCTCCGGCCTCCGTCCACCGTCCTCCGGTGATACCACTGTGATACCCAAAAATATTGACTCTGTTAAACAAAAGATACAGTGTGATACCCAAGCATATATAAGATGCATTGTGATACCACTGTGTTACATCTTCGATCAACCACACAAACGACCTCAATGTGATACCCAAACACATATATGATGCATTGTGATACCATTGTGGCATAACCGGAGGACGGTGGCCGGAAAGAGAAGAGAGGAGAGTGGAGAGTTTTGAAATACCAAAAATGTCCTTGTATTAAAATTTTAATTCAAAATTAACAAAATTATAAATTTCCTAATTTATCTATTGATTTATGGTTGAGATCGGAGCTCACGGTTACCACAAACTAATTAGTTCTCATTTGATTAGGCCCCTATATATATATACATATATATATATATATATATATAGACATGGGATCACAGGAGACCAACTTGTTTTGGTGAGACCCGTGAGACCATCTTTTTACACTTGAAGCTTCGCAGTAAAACACTGTGAAGGTAATCTTTATAGTATTTTTGCTGTGAAGGTTCGGATTTCTTTTATCTTCAGTGTTCTGCTGTGAAGTTTCAAATGTAAAAAAATAGTGTCACAGGTCTCATGAAAACAACCTGGTCTCACGTGAACTCAATCTTATATATGTGTGTGTGTGTGTGTGTGGATATATATATATATATATATCATCAATTTATTAATGCATCTGTCCCATAATATTTGTCCACATTTATATTTTAGTGTCACTTTCGAATTCTACCCTTAATTTAAAGATGGAAAAATTCATTTCTCCATATATTATTACATATTATTAAGAGTAAAATTGTCCCAAAATAAATGTCCGGAATGAAAAAAAGGACAGTTTTAGAAATGTGTGATTATTAAATGACAATTTTATCTTTAATAATATCAGAAGTAATGAATTTCCACATCTCATAATTAAGGGTAGAATTGGAAAGTAGACACTTACTTTTTGACTGTGGACACTTGTTTTAACTAAAATTGAAATGTGTACATTTATTTTCGGACGAAAGGAGTACATATTTCTAATAATGTATGCCTTTTTCATTGTGGGCATTTATAACAGCGCAAGTATATTGTTCCCAAGTCCTCCAAACTGTATTTTTTTTATCGTGGACATTTATTTAGGTTCTGTGAACTGAAAGTGGTGAATTTTGCAATGTGATTAGGTGCGACACTACTTCGAATATGACGATCCAGATGGGACTGTGAACGAGATTTGGCGTCAAGTTTCGTTAAAACTTCCACTTATTGAACTAATGATCAATCGTGACAAGAGGCTTGTCAAGCGGCAATTGGCTGAACCCGACTGTTCTTGTGTTTGCTCAAATCAAACAGGAATTCACACATCATTATGAAGACAAACTGTCATAATTTTGAAGGTAGATTTGGAGAGTTTGTGGGCACAAAAATGAAGATGCTGATTAGCATCAGAAATTGCATAATATCCATCATGACAGGGTGTGCTTCAATATTTTAATGAGTCTGAAAATATGAGTTTTTAGCCATTCATCCATTTGACATAGAGGAGAAAATGACTAGGTACTGCAAGTTGTAAGTTGATGTTGTACCTTTCTTTTTGTTAACTGTGGTGTGTGGGTGTTTTGGTCAGCTTATGCACGCCTTGACTGGTCTCATGCGAGTCTTGAAGATGATAGCCTGAAAATCCCATGGGGCCTTGGAGAATACAGACAAGAAAAATCCTCAGTGGTGTTGGAGGGTGAAGGATTAGGGGTTGAGGCATTTGAGATGATGATCGTATGGTGTCGAGGATTGGGGGATAACGCTGAAGATATGGTTGTGGCTATACTTTTAAATTGGGATGAACTTGAATTTGAATCATCGAATGTGTATTCATACTTAATTTCATCTTTGTTTTTCATCTTGTTGCTTAACATGAATTTGAATCATCGAATGACTGTATGGATGGTATTTTTGGAATACAATGCATCGAAAACTGTCGACTTTGATACAAACAGAAAAAAAACCAGTCCTTAATGTTTTTTGAAGGATTGTAAAATTCGTAATACATCGCAACTCGTTAAAAATTATTACAAGGTTTACAATCCTTTTAAAGATAAAATATTACGAAACTACAAGATATGTTTTTCGATGTGAAATATGTAATTTTTCATAGTAAATTGCACCAATAGTCCTTGTGCTTTGCTCAAATTCCATCAATTGTTGTTTTGAAATTACATTAGACTCCAAACGTCTTCGTTTTTTCATACTAAATTGCACCAATTGTTCTTGTGTTTTGCTCAAATTCCACCAATTGTGACAATAGGTTTGAGATTGCGTTAGATTGCCAACATTACAATTTGATAACATCATTCCTCCCCATCCTCTCTAACGTCCATTAAGGCCCGCCGTTAAGTTGATTGCCATTTTGCATTTTCTTTGGTAAAAATGTTAGTATACATGTTTATAATATTAAGATAAATAATAAAACCCAAACCTACACCCTCCTCTTGTGAACCTCATTTTTATGCCATTTTCATTCAAAATCCAACTATTTTATGATAATGCAAACACACTTCTTCATTACCATCATCAATGACAAGATGTCAACCACATCTAGGTCTAGAAAGAGAGAGAGGCATGAAAAGAAGAGAAGTGAAAGGACCTTATTCAACAGATCTCTTGGTGTGTTTTCCCACAAGATCTCATCTTACATTGATTCCAAAAACGATTTGCAGCCCATCACGAAACTCAAACCCAGGAAACCACCGTCATCCCCACCGCTACCATCAAGGAAAATTTATTGGTGGTCGTGGTGATGGTGATGGTGATGATGATGGTAGCTTATGGTAAAACATGAACTATATGGGTTGGAGTAATATCATATACGTATCATAAAGAAAAGAGAGGGTCGAGGTTCACCAACGAAAAGGAACCAGATGAGGTTGAAGTTATCTGAGTGAGAAAAATGGAACCTCCCGCTGTGTACAAAATAAATTTTGTCAAATTCGGAAAAAAAAAACCGATTGTATGGGAAATACTTTCTGTTGGATCAATTATCATTTCAACGATCAACTTCTCCCATGTTTTATTTGAAAATTTCATTTTTGAAGGTTTATGCCATGGTTTAAGCTCTAGAACGGGTCATGGGTTGGGTAGGGATTGGCCTACAGGGAATAAGGACGGGACGAAGAAGATGGGAGCTTGTATTCTATTTGGTTTTTTATCTTTTAAATGCTATAAATACTTCTAACAAGCTTTCTTGTTCATGTTTTCAACTCTGTCAATGATAATCACTCATATTTCCTCAAGCATTGTGATAATCTGTTTTCCACTGCATCACATGGTGTCTTGGTTTAAAACAGGTCCTTAGGTTGTGTCTTTGATTTTATGTATAACATATTGAAACTCGGTTCACATGTCTCTCTCCAATGCAACCCAATTCAGTGTTCTGAACTAGATTACAGTATACCTTTTTCTTGAAACTTGTATGTATGTGTCTAACACATTATGAATGGGAACACATCTACTGCTTCAACAACTGCCTATATTAGCAAAACAAGTTCATAACAGATTAGCAAAACAAGTCCCCATATAGTCTGTTAATTAACAGCTAGTAGGTTACAGAACTGTATGCAGATTAAACATAATTGTTAACCCAAATCCATAATTGCCAATCCAATTCTTACATCACACACCCCAAAACCACTTCCAACTCTCTTTACTTTTGATCCACTTCTTCCACAACTTATGCAAGTGGGTATATTTTGTGGTTAGCCTCTCTCCAACAACATGTAATGGTTTTCTTTTGCACAAGGTTTTAAGAAAACATCCATATAATCCAATAAATTTTCTACATCCCAACAACCACCCTCTTTCACACCTTTCAAACAAACATAAAACCATTTAATATGGTTTTTTTGATCTAGGTCTACTTCCACACTATTTCTAATAGTTGACCATGGATTAGTTATCCTAGTTTCTTCTTCATAGTACCATAACTTTCCATAATCTTCAACAAGGGCCATTTCCACCTTGCCTAAAGCTTTTGCCTTTCCCATGCTACCTTGACCTATAGTAACTTCTACAAAATCTATTAACTTACATCAACTACCTTTATTGAGGGGGTTTGTCTAATTTTTGTGCCATATTGCTTCACAATATATTGGTCTTGAAAGGGTAATGAATTCCACAATTAGTGTTTGTAAAAGGGGTTGAATACACACACTATCATATTTTCACTTTTAATTTTGTATGTTAATAAAACAAAAGAATTACTGATTTGTCGCGAAAGCTAGGGAGGTAAGACACCTGATCCTAAACAATATGACTAGTGATAAACTTCCCATAAACCAAAAGAGTAAGGAAGAAAGTACTCTTTTAGATCTAAAAGTTGAGATAGTCTTCACTCGATTTTGCCTAAGAAGCCATCATTCAGTAATTTCTATGAAAATGGGTAAGTTGCAACATTCGATGGGGATGGCCTTTTACAACCACCATTGTATTAAATGTTGTTGTCCAACTTTTACGAGTGTCTTCATATGATTTGTCGATTAGTGTATGTTTGTACTCTTCATTTCAACACTTTGCAATTGATGCAGATGTTTGTTAACACAACCCATCCTTATGTATTTAGACAAAACATGAAAGAAATTATGGTACTAATAAGAAAGTACTTTTGAAGTTACTTTGTCTGACATGCCAATCATGTCCCATACGAAGACAAGAGTTGGTAGAGTTGGTGAGTCAAACTTGCTGGTTGAATTTGCACTCAAAAATCAGTTTGCCAAAAGTAGTATTTGTGAAACTACGTTTGACTTTATCTTGTATTGATTTTCAATCGTCTAGATGGCAATCCAATCTGTTTTGATGACTATCTTGACTTCACTTCAACTAGTCTTCGATTTTGTTGAAGGTTTTTTGTAACACCCCCATCCCCCGTGGTAAAAAAATAGGAGATGCCACAATTGGTTTAAAAAAACAACACATTAAATAATACAGAACAACTAATAAAATTTACCAAAAGATAATCACATAACCACAAAAGAGATAACATGTCTCAAAATACTGTCCCGAAATACTAGTAGGTCTACATTAGTCAACAAAAGTTAGAAAAAGTATGACGTAATGGGTTATTTTCAATATTGTCATCTACGTAGCTCTCATCGCAAAATACCTGCTAAGTCATGTACCTACCGAGGACAAGAAAATCTCGGCTAAGCTTAATGGTTAGTAAATGGATAATAATAACTAAACAATGAACATGAGATAACAAGTTCAAAAAAATTTATAATGTTAATTGGTAATCCAAAAGAAAGTCAAAATGCCCCGACGGCATGTCAAGGGTCTGAAGAACAAACCGCGTCACGAGGACGCGTTGTTCCCAAAGGATGATCAGTCCGTTCAGGCATAAGTGAGGAAAGGGGTGTGAGAACAACACAACAATCCTCTCTGTGGATTTAACCATGACCACAATTTATTATCCGATAACGGTTCCTAGGATCGATCTATACGCCCTCTATTCGACCGGTACATAATCAAGTCCATCTTTAAGGACTATAAAAATGAGGACACCATGATCGTTTTAGCCACCATGGAAACATCTCAAAACCGGTGCTCTGATTATTGAGTCTATAGTAAAATGTTTCATAATAGATGCAATCAAACAAGTCAAGTGATCAAAATGATACATGTTTCAAATGAGAATGTACATCATATTTCGAAAGAACACAAAAGCTCAATAGCAATTGATGAGCACAATGAGAATTTGGAACCAATACATTCGGATTAGAAAGCCTTATACAAATGGCTATCCCCGTGTCATGTGAGATATGAAATCCGTATCTTAACCGAATTTGACAATTAACGCACGATCAAACGAAAATTCACGATCAAGTTTGATTTGTCCGCGTGCCTAACGAATGCTTAAACAAGTTACTATTTACAAAACATAAAAACCATAACATAATTGTTCTTATAAAATTACTTAGGTATTAATGTACTTAAACAACATAAACTTCAAGAAGGACAACTGGATACGAATTGAGAACTCAAACGTAACACTAACCTTATGCATTTTCAATCCAACCACTTCCGTCCCTCTTATTTCTAAGCATTTTAACCTTACTTAGAGACCAATATAGATTATATTTTCTAAATGAAAGTTGTAGGTTGGTATCTTGCGAGTCTATTTCTTTTGAAATCATCTCATTTGAATCATCCATCTATTTTATATGAATTTTACAAAACTGCAAATTAATCCCGAATACAGTGTAAACAACTCCGAAAACACACTGTTTTGAGCCACCTAGATTCATAACTGGATTTTCGACCCATGATAAAAGTTGTAGTATATAGTAAGGTCTTTCTAAGTGCAAGATACGAGCTTATTTCGACTTACGGTTTGTGAGTTATATACTATCAAAGTATGAAAATTGTATTATCGGTAAAATTCGATTCCGCAATTCCTGACTAACTTTTATGATCCAACTTCCATGATTCGCTACATTTATATGCTATAAACAAACTTGAACATACTAAACAGTAAAACAAATCCAATGGTCGCTAACTTAAGCTTAATCATGCATTTTTACTTTTTTCGACATTTAAACAAACAATTGGTGTGTGGTTAAACATATACCCACAATCTAACCATATTGAAACAATAATATACTCTTTTAATTTCTATATTAATTTAAGTAATCCTAGCATTCTAAACATGAAATATATCATAATATAACAACATCAATTCGTAAACTTACACATAAACATAATTTATAAACCGGTTTCAAAAACCCTACTGTAAATACCTTAATAAATATGAATGAAATTTATACATTTTGGAAGAGTTCGAAGAGTGGATTCCAAATATATAACTGTTACTTCGATTCTTCAGTAATTTGACGTGAAATATAGAGAGAAGATGAGAGTTTTAGAAAAAGAATTGAGAGAAGAGAAATGAGGCGGTGATGAAACCGT